GGATGTTCTGGTATGCGTACTCGGGCCTCTCGGAGCGGGGGTTCTCGTGTTCCTCGTGGGCTACGTGCTCCCAATGAGCATCCCACCTGACCTTGGCGTTGACACTGGCGACGATGATGCAGGGGACGGCAACGCTATCATAGCATTAGCAGATTCTCTTGCTTTATCAACAACCCTTTTAATATGATGATCCGATACCACCATCCTCTCGCATGTGCCCTGGCTCCACGCCCTTCCCTCTGCCCCGTTTAACCCCCTCCATCTCCGGAACGGCCCCAAGTATCTAGGTACTTACTAGAGCGACAGCTTGCGCCAGAACTCGCCAGACTCAGCGGCGTGCTGAGCAATGTGGGCACGCTCGCGGTTGAACTCGTTGTCCTCGGTTCCGGCAAATTGCTTGGGGCTCTCGGAGCTGTAGTTGCGGCGGCCGGCGCGGGCAGGGGCGCGGGCGAGTGCCTGACGAGGCGCGGCGCGGGCGAAGGAGCGGGCGGCGAACATGGCGACGTTTGTTCGGCGTGATAGAGTGGAGGGAGGGTGCAATTGGCGTTGGCGTGAGACGTGACGACGGGAGCTCGAATTGACGAAGCAGAGGCTTGGCGGATGGGCTGATGCGGAGTTTCCCGCTTGCTCTTAGCGTGGCCGCGCTCGGCTGCCGGTAATGTGACGTCGTGTCTGGCGCGTGAAGTCGCGTGTGACCGTGTCTTACATGTTCCTGTAAAATACAGAACAAATGAGATGACGACGTGATGATGTTCTTGGTTCGCGCTCACTGTCGCTCTATATAACCGATCAACGCCATGGTCCGCATCACCACCTGGAATGTCAACGGCATTCGCAACCCGTTTGGCTACAAGCCATGGAGCAACACGAGGACCTTCAATGCCATGTTCGACATCCTCGAGGCGGACATTGTCATCATGCAAGAGCTGAAGATTCAGCGCAAGGATCTGACGGATGACATGGTCCTTGTACCTGGCTGGGACTGCTACTTCAGTTTACCAAAACACAAGAAAGGCACTTTCCACGTTACACGGTCCTTGTTCAGCGGCCTTGCACTAACACAGTCCAGGCTACTCAGGCGTTGGTATCTACACTCGCCAATCCATATGCGCCCCCATTCGCGCCGAAGAAGGCGTCCTAGGCGCTCTCTGCCCTCCCGGCTCGACCACATCGTACCGCAACCTTCCTGAATCTGCCAGCATTGGCGGTTACCTCAGCGCCGCGCAAATGGCCCATCTCCCCCCCGATCTCGACGCTGACAGCCTCGACTCAGAAGGACGGTGTCTGGTGCTTGAATTCCCAGCCTTTGTCCTCTTCGGCGTCTACAGCCCAGCGAACAGCAATGGCCTACGAGACGGTTTCCGAATCGGCTTTCTCACAGCGCTGGAAACACGAATACGGAACTTGACGAACATGGGCAAGCATGTGATACTCACGGGTGATCTCAACGTCTCGAGAGATACCATCGACACGGCCAGGGCGGAGGAGAATATGCTGTCGCAAGGCATGACGCATGCCGAGTATCTGAGCACTCCGAACAGGCGAATCTTCAACCAGCTCTTGTTCAATGGAATGGTTCCGGGTCAACGAGACGAGGGGAGAGAAGAGCCGGTCCTATACGATCTGTGTAGGGAGTTCCATCCCGACCGCGAAGGAATGTTCACACACTGGGAGCAGAAAATCAACGCTAGGCCGGGCAACTTTGGATCACGGATCGACTTCATACTGTGCAGCATCGCGATCAAGGACTGGTTCAAGGAGGCCAACATTCAGGAGGGACTGATGGGGTCGGATCATTGTCCAGTGTACGCTGTGACGAAGGATGTGGTGCCCATGTCACAGATATCAGCGACCGGTGAGCACGGTGCTGAAGATCAGGTGCACGTGTTGGACTTGATGAATCCAGCGGGCATGTTCAAAGACGGCATGCGGCAGCGAGAGTATGACATAGTCAAAGATGTCCCAGCACTCAGCGGAAAGCTCCTAGCCGAATTTACGAAGAGGAGGAGTATCCGAGACATGTTCGCCAATAAGCCCACCCTACCAAAGTCTGCACCAGCGCCTACGGCACCGATTGCCGACGAAGAAATGCAGACAAAGGTAGATGACATGTCTACTCCCAATACGACCATGGACGACTCCGACAGAGACCTTAAACTGGCCATCGCGGCTTCCATGGCGGAAATGCCTTCAGCAGTTGATAGTCACCTTGCAATCACCCAGAGCCCGCTCAAGTCGGTCGAGAAGCGACGCGCTTCGGCATCAGCATCGCCCAACAAGCCAGTCAAGCGGGGAAAATCTAATACCACAACCACGTCCAAAGCCCCCAAGGGCCAGCAGTCGCTCAAAGGCTTCTTCCAAAGCCGAACCAAACCCGCTGATGCAGAGCCCCTCAAAGATGCAGCACCGCCCGCCTCGCCGTCTACGAACAACGATGCTCCCAGCCATTCCACCATAGACATGCCTCGTCCGCTGTCGCCCATAACCTCCGAATCTTTGGACTCCGATCCGCGCGCCTCCCAGGAAGCGTCAAAAGAAGGCTGGACAAAGCTCTTCTCCAAAAAACCAGTACCGCGGTGCGAACACGGCGAGCCTTGCATCTCGTTCACGACCAAGAAACCAGGCATGAACTGCGGAAGACAATTTTGGATGTGCCCTAGACCGATTGGACCGACGGGGCAGAAGGAAGTGGGCACGCAGTGGCGGTGTGGGACGTTCATCTGGTGTAGTGATTGGAAGGGTAGTTGAGAGAAGGGACATAATATATGGATACTGATAGATGGTTCTGCTAGGCTATGAATACGCTTCCCTGCGGCTCGCATTGGTTCTGCTTACGATGACGATGCTAAAATCCTCAGGGCAGTTGTGGAGACTGAAGCTCACCGCAGAAATAGCAGGCAGATCAAAAGTGTCTGCATAGTTACAGTATCACCTATCAGGCTCGGCAATGAGATTAATAGTCACGCCGGGGCGAGTAGAAGGAATTTGAAAGTTATAGGGCCGTCCATGTCAGACCATATCAATATGTCATGTTCAATGGTGCAAATAAGACCACAGTCTCGACAACTAATATACTAAGTGCTCTACAAAACCGTTGACGTCGATCCTAGAAGCTACAACGCTATATGCATCTACGTAGTACGCCGTAATGCTACTGTGATATCTCTGCTCGACTTAACACTGAAATAATATGTGTGTGTTAAGATGTTGCATCAGTCGTCTCTACCTAGGTATAATGGCACTGCATTCGGCTATTACTCTACTAGTATACACTAGACGTTGAAAACTGCTCTTAATACACGTTCAGTACTTATTATGAAGCTGTGAAGATCTTAGGGAGTTCTAGTAAGTGTGTTAGGGTCACTATCTTGCTTTTTGTCAGCCCGTAGGCCTGCCTCGCAGACAGGCATATACCTCTATATAGCTGTACCAAAGCACTGCCGATAAGTTTAAGAAACATTTGAAATGGTGAAAAGACAATTTAACAGGCGCTCTGTAAAGGCTGAAAGGTCTATGAGCTTTTCGGTCATATCCCTTTACTGTAGAACAGAGAGGAGTGTATGCCTAACCAACATTTACCCCGGTCGTGACTCCTCGCAGCCAGAGCCCGGTCGTCACCACTCGTACGTCGGTCACGCCCAAAGTTATCAGAGATACATTGAGTTTTATACAAATATTTCATTCCATGCTTACTAGGATTGATGTAGAAATGCATTGTACATAGATGCTACCTCTTGGACTGGGTTATAATAAGCTATCTGTTGACTTGACAGTACGACCACTGTATGTAAGGTCACAAAAAACTTGCTTAACTCATCTTTATATATTTAAGAGTCTTTCATGAAGTGCTTGCCAGGCTAGACATGAGCTTGCGTTGGCGATACTCCTGCCAGTCAGCCATCCTCGATTTCAACATCCAACCTTGGAACCCGACACCGAACGAAGATGTCGTACCTATATGTCCCATCCACTTGTTAGAGAACCCAGATGTTGATTCAAACCTTATGAGTCACCTCCGCTTACGCCTAGGCACATCAGAGTCCTTCGGCACATGGGCGCGCTCGGACGAGAGGCGAGACAGTTTCGGCCATTATGACACCTGGGCACCTGGGCACCAATACACCACCACCCCTCCAAAACCGCAGCGGCAGAGATATTAATACACGACTCATAAGTGGTCTGATAAGTCCGCCAGCTTCACTGGGAATACTATATAACGACCTCATTGTCGGGACTGAAACACCACCATTATGCAAGCCCGTCACATCCTTCCATGCAGCCACCAACATTACAATCACATACTTGCATACATCTCCTTACATGTCAGCTTGAAGTCACGTCGGTCAAGCAAGTCAGCAAGCAGATCACTGCATATTGTTTTCAAATCACGCTGGGGAGAGAGGTGAGTTCTTTTTGTGTGCATTTTTGGTATCTTTTATCTATCTTTTTTTGTGGTTGATATGTTCTTCTGATGCTGCGTATGCGCGTATGATCGACGATGTGCATGCTACACCATGTAAGACATAGGGTCTGGATGGGGTATCTGAAGTAGTGACCACGAACCATATATCGTTAAAGGCAACTTGGTCGTGATCGAGAGAAAAACACACGCTTCACCCATGTTCCCACCATCAAGACTCAAAAGCCTCTTTTATGGGATCGTTCATTCTGTATGCACATTGCCTGAGGTATCGTGGGTTGTGATCGTAATCGTAATCCGGGAAAGAGTGGAAGGTGTGCTTGACTGGGTGCTGCACAAGAAAACGTGGCAGGCTGGTGACAATTGAAAGACTTTTGAGTGCGCTAAGAGCAAGGGGAATGCCAGATCGAGACGTAGAGGCAAGCCGACTGTGTTACCAAAAGAAGGCGGAACATATCGACTGGAAATGAGTGTTGATGTGTGGGATTCGCCGGCGTACCGAGAGGCGCAAATCGTTGATGAGTGACGTGCGGGCCTCCGTTACATGAAATGTGAAGATGCAGGCTACGTGTCTCGAGGATCAAGTGTTGAGAACATCGTCGAATGCAGGAAGGGTTGTATCCTCGTTGGCGCCTGGGCGAAACGCATCAAAGTCATCTGGATACAAGACCATGCTTGATGCGAAGTTGGTGATGTTACCGTAAGCAATGGTGTCGGAGACGAATACGTTGTCGATCAGAGTTGCGTCAGCCTGAGGATTTGCATCATCTTGAGAGTCCGTAATCGGGCTGTCGAGATAACCAACAAGTTGCTGATAGAACGGGTTGATGTCGTAGTTGGGGAGAGCAGGAGTGGGGTAACGGTCAGGTACGTGTTCGCCGGTGTGTCCAGGGACAGCCCTGTGCGCGGCGAGGATGTCTTGCTCGATGTTTATCCTCAAAGCAGAAGTCCTAGCAATGTCTCGCTTCGCGCGGCGCTTGTTGCGAGCGACGATGCGGCGGTCGATTACAGGAGCTACGATCGGTGTCGCTCGCAAGGCGAGACCGCCCTTCTCCACAGTTGAGTTGACAGAGCGTCCGAGGAAAGTTGACGACGAGGTGCCCTCGATAGCGACATAGGTAGACGCGTATCCCATTGACTGGACGTAGGCGATGATGTCCTCAACAGAGAGCGCAATGTCTGCAACTCCGGCGCCGATGCATGCAAACTCGAGGGAGCCGTCGCGAGAGATGAAAGGATTACCCTCTTTATTGATTGAGAGAGACCATCCATAGAAGGCGAGGTATGACTCAGGTTCAGGTATGTGGAGGTGACCGCAGATGATGATAAGGAACCGGTCTAGGGGAGCTTCGACCTTTCCAACTTGGTCGCGGATGGTAGACCAGGCCTTAGCCATTAGAGACCAGTAAGACTTGTACATGTCGGCTTCCCAGAGAGCTCCGATGATGCTGGAGAGCTTCTTCATGGGCCACTTCTTCAACTCAGAGGCAGTGACGTAGTAGCCTGCAAAATTTAGTGAGGGTTACTGCAATAGTGAGAGATATACTTACATCGGAAAGCAACGAACGCGTTGAGAGCTTTCTTGGCTTTCTCTGGAGTGGTGAAGCGAGCATCGTTGACGGGAGGTCCGAGCAGCAGCAGCCTCGCTGTGAGCGCAGCCTGTGCCTTAGGATCTGGGATCAAACGAAACAACTGGATCATCTGCTTGCCACTGCGAGTCTGCAGAAATCTGTCGATTTCCGCTTCTGCCGGGTTGCGCATGAGACGGGCAACGAAATCATTGCTTGACATAACGAGGTTGAGTAATGTTGCAAGAGAGTTTGAAGAAGGTGATTTGGAGGGAAGGTTGCTATGGGTATAGGTTGTAAAAAGTGGTTGCTGTAGAGTTTTTGGAGCAATTGCAAAAGAAAAAAAGGTTTGAGTAGTGGAAGTGGGTGGTATTTCGACGAGATGGTGAGAGCAGAGACTTTGTTTGTGGCCGCGCCAAGGCTGAGCAGGCCAGGCAACGAGTCTGCGCGTTTGCAATGGTCAGTGCATAGGTACGTCAACAACAGTATTTCCTCGCTCACCTGATGAAACTGTCTCAGTCTCCTTCACTTCGTAAATAATCCTGGACGGTCCCCTTTATAGCGTTGTTAGAAGCAGTCTGGATACTGAGCCTTATCACAAATGCTATCCGATATGACAAGCACTGTGATGTGACTTGGGAATGTGAAAACTAGATGGAATTGGAGAAAACCCCAACATTTGTTCGCTAAGTGATATTTTGAGACAAAGGAAATAGCATCAAGCCACGCACGAGATAGCGCTAAGATACGTGTACCTGATTTGATGAAAGGTATGCCACTAACCAGATGCTGCGCAAATACGGCAACCCCTTGCATACGCGACACAAGCCGCAGAATTCCGAACATGTCGGTCGTTTCCAAAAAGAGACTCCTGGTGATTCTCATGACGACATTCCGTTCGGGTTGATTTCTTGTGTGTTTTCTGAAAGGCTCCAATCTCTAACTTGGCCTTTCCAGTCTGCGATGCGCCCGTCACGAACCCTGACTACGACAACTCTGACCTCTGCTCCCTCGACGTAACACTTGGTGCCCCCGTCGCCTTCTCTTAGTGATTCATCAGCGTTTTCTTGTGAACCTATGCCCCCACCGCCCCACAGTCCTTCGCCAGCGGGAGGAGCCGAGTGTGTGTCCTCGCCACCAGGGCTAAAGGTATTGTTAGCCAGGTGTTGGGCTTTGTACCATGTCTCTTCCTCGGAGCCAGAAGGCACGAGTTCAGCAACGCCATTGATGGTGGCGCTGATGCGACTCAGGGACGCGGTGTTCATGCCAAGGAGAAGTTCGGCCAAGGATCCCGAACGTGGTGCTGGACCTGACGGCGAAGGCGAGCGACCCGGCTGGCTCAAGGTTGGAGGGCGGTGAGAAATCCAGTCATGCACTAGGAGAGATACTCGAGTGTTGGCCTCGAGATTTTGTGTTTTGCGGGAAGTTGAAGGTGTTGTCATGATGATAGTGGGAGTTGGAGAATACGGAGTGTTAGGTAAGTAGGTGTAGTTCATCAACGAGACGTGAGGAATGTTTTCCGAGCATGTTGCAAGATGGAGCTGTTTGAACTTGTTAGCACATAAGCATACGAGAGATCGGGGGTGTTGGCAATGCACGTGTTTATGAGGCGGGTATGAATCACGACACTTGGTAGGAAGGGTTTGGGGGGAAATGAACTGCTCGAAACAAGCGAGGAGGGGTCATGTAAGCATGCGACGTGTGTTTGAATGTGATCCCGATGGAAGAATGAGATGAGACAAGATAAAAGTGTTTGGAGGGACTCACAAAGCGGGCATTCTGGAGGCAGGTCACCACCTCATCCGGTAAGCCGCTAGACATGGCGAGACGGATCAAGAGGGGGGTGAAGACGTGAGTCAAGAGAGGCAGGCTGCGAAAGGTGGACGGTGCTGCCGTGCTTGATCAGGCGCGTGAGGACGGTTGGCAGAACTTGACGGCGGGAAGGATGACGTTGCGTGGAGCTTGTCCGTGCAGCATCTCCGCCTCCGCCGAAGCGCGCGGCATTGCGCATTCCGACGGCGACCCGGCGACGCAGCCATTACCTCCTGCCACAACAGCCGCGTCTGCGATGGCTGCCCCGAATGCAATCCCGCCTATGGAGGGCACTGACAGCGTCCATGCCGACCCGAACAGCGTATCGTCGCCCACGCATGATGGTGCCCCCGCCTCGCCCATGGATGAAGCGACTCCCACATCGCCTGACCAAGGGAGCGCACCCCCCAATGCGCAGACGCAGCAGCGCGTGCAAGACATGTTGCACTCAGACGTGGGCGTCTCCACCCTGCTGAACCGCCTCAAGGCCAGCATTGCGAGCGCCAGAGTCAGTGGCCACGAAGCCGGGCTCTTGTGCATTCCGACGGCTAACACGCTGGGCAGGACTTTGCCAGCTTTCTCAAACGCCGGGGAGCTCTCGAGGAAGAGCACGCCGGCAGCCTCAAGAAACTAAGCCGTCTGACGCTCGACGGCGTGCGGAAGCCTGACACGCGGCACGAGAGCTACCAGACGCAGTTCGAGCAGGTCCTCCACGCAAACGAGCGCATCGCCGACAATGGCACCCAGTTCGGCCTTGCCCTACACGCCATGCACGAGAGCCTGCTACAGCTGGCCAACAAGATGGATACAAGCCGCAAAACTTGGAAGCAGCAGGGGCTCTCGGCAGAGAACAAGGTTCAAGACGCCGAACGGCTGGCCGAGAAGGCCAAGGCCAAGTACGACCAGCTCGCCGAAGACCTTGACCGGGTCAAGACAGGCGACACAGGTGCGGGCAGGAAGTTTGGCTTGAAAGGGCCCAAGTCAGCCGCCCAGCACGAGGAGGACCTCCAGCGCAAGACCCAGGCGGCAGATCAGGACTATGCCAGCAAAGTCCAGACGGCACAGGTCTCCCGCAAAGAGCTCGTCGCGACTCTGCGGCCCCAGGCTGTCTCTGCGCTGCTGGATCTCATCAAGGAAACCGACGCTGCTCTGACTATGGAAATGCAGAAATACGGTAAGTCCACCTGCTGCCCGCGTCAGCTTCGACTGACGCTGTCATAGCCTCGTTCAACGAGAAACTTGTCGTCAACAATGGCCAGGTCGTCAGTCCACAGCCACCCAAGGGCGCGACTACTCAGGCCCCGTCCAGCATCAACCAGCTCATCTACCAGATCAACAATGAGCGCGACTTTGACGAATATATTTTGAGCCATGCCTCCAAAGCACCCATCACCAAATCAGAGCTACAGTACCTGAAGCATCCGACACAGGCGCAGACGCGGTCACATCCAACACCACCTGCTGCTGCGAGTACTAACCGACGTACCTCCATGCAGCTGCAGAGTCAGCCGCCGCCCTCTTTCCCCATGCCGCAGCCAGATGCCAACCCTCTATCGCCTCAGGGCCCTTCCAGTCTCGAGCCCTCGTTTGGGGGTCCTGCACAGCTGCCACCTTCGTCGTTGCAATCGCAACCACAGCCTTCGCAAGCGCCGCAGTTCAGCAACTCGCCCTACTCACCCGTGGGGCCCACGCCTTACCCACAGTCAGACTATCCTCGTGGACCTGTCGGTCAGGCTACGGCACAGCAGACTAGCGGAATTCTTTACAACAACGCCCAACCCCCGGTCAATCCCGTCTTTGGCGTCACTCTGGAAGACCTGTTCCACCGAGATGGCTCACCCGTACCCATGGTAGTCTATCAGTGTATTCAGGCTGTGGATCTATACGGACTGGAAGTAGAGGGCATCTATCGGATCCCTGGAACCTCGTCGCATATCCAGCAAATGAAAGCTCTCTTTGACAGTGGTAGGTGATTATGAGAATTAGTCAATGCGGGCGACTAACGCTATACAGACGCTTCCCAAGTAGATTTCCGCAACCCAGAGTCGTTTCAGCACGACGTCAACAGTGTGGCTGGTTTGCTGAAACAATTCTTCCGCGAGCTTCCGGATCCACTGCTCACCCGCGAATTCTACGGCAAGTATATCGATGCTGCACGCATCGATGACGAGACCATGCGACGTGATTCCATGCACGCGCTAATCAATGCTTTGCCCGATCCGAATTATGCGACACTTCGTGCCCTTGTTTTGCATCTGCATCGTGTGCAGCAATCCTCCGAGGTTAACCGCATGAGCACCGCAAATCTGGGTATCTGTTGGGCGTAAGTCATCACTCGACCGAATCTATGTATCGACTAACCTCGTATAGGCCGTCCATAATGGGTCCTCATAAAGGCAACAATATGGCCGATGCCGGTCTGCAAGCCCGCGTAATCATTACCATTCTTGACAACGTGCTCCAGATATTTGACGAGGACTGAACAACTATCTTGCCTGGGCAGGGGCTCATGTCTGTCATGTTCTTGCAATCTCAAATCACGTTTCCTATTACCCTCTAGGTGTTCAATTTCTAATCCAATGCGGGCTCCGCTTGTGCGGGACGGCTACCGCATTCGTGAACAGCACTTTGTGTATGATTATGGTAGAGTACGAGAGAAGCAGGGACTAAGCTACATCATAAGAAGGCATGGTCGCTGCTCGCTGCTCGCTAAGGGGTATGAATAGCCACACGCAGGGATGGAGCAGTCAGGGACAGCGAAGTTCGAGGTCGAGGTTTAGAAGTGAATTGATCCAAATGGTCTCTTTCTAGTCTCGTGGTACATCTTGGGCCTCTACGATCATGTCAACAGATTAGATGCAAAGAATACGACCATGGATCTGGATGTTGGCCTGAAGACGCGATGAAAGTGTTCTGCGCTACATTGAAATGTAAACAGCGTTGCAACGCTTCCAGTAGAGCAATGTAGACGCGTGACGGAGGTTGGTGAGGTTTGCAGTGGGGCGCGCTTACCCCAGTGCCCCGGGCGGATACCTAGGCAGCGGGACGCTAGTGAGCTTGACAGGGACAGCTGCAGTAGGCTGATTGAGGGGAAGCTGTGCTGTAGCCCGCCCAAACCGACACAAACACCACCACTACTCCACTCCATACACGCTGTCGGCGTTGGTGTGCAAATTGACCTCACCCTCCAGCTCCGGTCCCGACAGTACCATCATGCTCACACGCCGTGTTTGTGCCAGTGTGCGCGGCATCCTCTCCCCGCCGTGTGCCACCGCCGTCCGCTCTCAGGCCTTCAGTGCTGGCGCTCCAACACAAAGCCCGGCTAGAGCTCCTACCCTCGCCGATATCACACCCGATAGTGCTGCCAGCTTCAACGAGAAGCAGAAGAGCTTCCGCGACGGTCTGGTAGCTGCTCAGAAGCGAAAGGAACAGGAAGAGAGTCCGTTGCACGTCGCCCAACCTGAATTACCCAAGAGCGCTAACGTGAGTAACTACAGAAGATGCCCGCGCCCGTGAGCAAGAAAACGGCAAGAAGAAGGGCGGTGCGCTATCATCTCTCATCTACGGCACGCCCGAGGGCCGCGAACTCGACAAGGACATTGAGCGCAGCTTTTCTCAGGTCTTAGCTCGCGGCAAATACGTCCACTCCATTGTGTTCCACGAGGTACTGCAAGACAAGGTCGAAGAGTACACCGAGTTGGTTGGAAGCTGGTACCCAAAGATGGCGTTCATTCCCGAGAACAAGGTCCATCTTGTAGGTAGCTGGAGGACTGAAGTGGGAGATTGCAACACCTTTGGTAAGTCTGCAACTCGCTCCAACGCTCGCATCTCTCTCAACGATGCTGACTATGCACCAAAGTACATATCTGGGAGTACCAACGCTACGAGGGTTACCACGAATCGCTACACAACATCCAATCCCATCCAGAGTTCCCTGCGTTCGATGTCAAACTCAAGACCTTGATCAAATCCAAGCACAACTCCCTAATGCAAGAGTTCTCCTTCTGGCCTACGACACCCCCACGCCAGCTCGGTGGCTTGTTCGAATTGCGCTCGTACACACTACATCCTGGCAATTTGCTCGAGTGGGAGACACATTGGCGACGTGGCTTGAAGGCCAGGCGGGAAGTCATGGAGGGTGTGGGTGCTTGGTTCGTCCAGATCGGTGATCTGAACACAGTACACCATCTGTGGCAATTCGCCAACCTGGAGGAACGCAAGGTCCGTCGTGAACAGAGCTGGAGTGTGGAAGGCTGGGGCGAGACAGTGCACAAGACCGTGCCGCTCATCCAGACCATGAGGAGCAGGATCTTGATTCCTTGCTCCTGGAGCACTGTTGCATAAGCTTCGATTGCACCGATCAAGCCACTCATTTGGTGTACGACCAAGTAAATGGCACTGTGCGCTGCTTACAGTGAGAGGGTGTCATGTCTGCTGTATCATGTATATGAGCAAGATCGATCACAATGTTCCAGAATGAGGCAAGTATCGCTAGTGGAGCCATCAAGCCTCCAGCGTCTAAGTGGTGCGAAGTTGCGAGGGGCTGCATCAATGTCAGATACACATTCGTAGAATATGATGATTCATCTCATTCGTTGTGCACGCCGAGGTAGCGATCGTACCTGACATACCGTTTCGACGCTAAGATGTTGCCAAAACCGGCGGGCGGACGGGTCGCTACGTCATAAGATTTTGCGCTTGGCACACCACCACATAGCAACAAGTGCCGCCGAAATCACTTTCGCTGCCAGAACCCCACAACAACTCGCCAACAGTTGCTGGTACTAAGCGAATAACACACCATGGTGTACATACGACAGGATAAGCTACCAAAGCTCAGGGAGTACAAGTACTCTGGCGTGGATCACAGCTTGCTTTCACAATATGTCCTCAAGCCTTTCTACTCTCATGTGGTCATCAAATGCTTTCCTATGTGGATGGCGTGAGTATTTCCAAAATCTCATACAAAGCAATACTAACATATCTTAGACCCAACCTTGTAAGTTTGGCATAAAAAAAAAAGATTTTATATGTCGAACCCCGCCGCAAGAGCTTCGTCCTTACTTACATGATGCTGTAGATAACACTCTCTGGGTTCGGGTTCATCATAGTCAACTTCCTCACCTTACTCTGGTATACACCGACCCTTGATCAAGATTGTCCGCCTTGGGTGTACGCCAGCTGGGCCATCGGACTGTTCCTCTACCAAACATTTGATGCTGTGGATGGGAGTCAGGCCCGCAGGACTCGTCAGAGCGGTCCTCTAGGCGAGCTGTTCGATCATGGAGTCGATGCGATCAATACGACACTGGAAGTATTGTTGTTCTCTGCGACAATGAATCTTGGCCAAGGCTGGAAGACAGTCCTCACGCTCTTTGCATGTAAGCCAGCACCTTGACATTACTTGCTTTGCATCTTATCTTGCTAACTACTGCAGCATCTCTGACATTCTACGTGCAGACCTGGGATGAGTATCATACCCATACACTGACTCTTGGTGTTATCTCTGGGCCAGTCGAGGGTATCATAACCTTGTGCATAGTGTATGCCTCAACGGCCTACCTTGGTGGAGGTAGCTTCTGGCAACGCTCCATGATCCAAAGTCTCGGAGTGAAAGAGCATGGATTCATTCCAGAAGTGCTGTACAATTTGGCATGGAACGAATGGTATATGGTCTATGGAGGAGTTGTGCTCGTGTTTAACACTGTTTCGAGGTATGAACACATGCCATTGTACGAGACAGTAGGCTGACAATGACACAGCGCGCAAAATGTAATGAAGGCGCGTCGTGCCCGTGGTCAAAAGGCGCGAGTCGCTCTCCTGGGTCTTCTTACCTTCGGGGCGGCTTGGGTCCTCATCACGGCGTACTTGTACCTGCAACCTATGATCTTGCATCACCATCTGGTTCCGTTCATCTTCTACGCTGGTCTCATCAACGCGTACTCGGTGGGTCGCATGATCATCTCTCACCTTACGAAATCCCGATTTCCTCGAGGCAACGTACTGATGTACCCTCTCATCTACGGAGTGATCGATTCGCTCGGGCCATGGCTACAGGAGCACATTGGTGTCGGCTGGCCAAGTGCCTTGGGCAACGATGTTTATCAGGTTGCCTTTGTGTTCATGTGTCTAGGTCTTGCTGTCGGTGTGCATGGAAGCTTCATCGTGGATGTTATTTGGACGATCTGCGATTATTTAGACATCTGGTGTCTCACGATCAAGTACCCCTACCAGCCAGTAGAAGAAAACATCGAACGGAAGGGACAATGACGATCAGGCTACTGGGTCTCAACCACAAGGGGAGATGGAAAGGGTTGATGGGATTAATCCCACTATAAATTCCTTTGTTTGGGGATCTTTGCGTACGCCCGCAGGAACTCATCATCGTATCTAGATGTTAGAGCTGTTGGCTGAGTAGCTTTACGAGGAGCACGACATCACGTAACTATAGTGCAGTGAAATACACCACACATTATCAACCTCAACTTCAGATACTCAAATATGTACCTTCCGCATTTCAAGGTTCCTGAGATTGATTGTGCCGGCCCGCATATATGTGTGGTGCCAGCGTGAGCCACGCTAGACCGATGTAGGTCACCCCCGAGCGCGTCTCCGCAATCACTCATCAACCGGAGCCAGGACTCTACAACCTCCAACGCAAACATGTCAACCGTGGGGGTAAATTTGGCTGTTACTAAAGACGGTGAGAGCTACAACAAACTACAGCGGCCCGATGGTTACCTTATGTCGACGCAGCCGCCCTCCATATCCTCCTCGACAGCGTCCCCGACTGCATACGGCAGCAAAAGAAAGTGCGCGCAAGAAGAGGCCGTTGGTGTTAAGCGCGCGAGGATCGCGCGCATCACAGCGCACCCAAAAAACCGGCCGCGCGCTGTAGATTCGTACCAAGAGTATGGGACACGGACGGTGCTACCAGGACTCGACGGTGAAGAGCAGTCATCCGACGAGACCACAAGCGAAGCGTTGGCCTACCTTCACGGTGTCCGGTGAGTGCTTACTTCATCTTTTGCACTCCCCTCACATGAGAGCATTATCAAGTGCATCGCTTATACATGAGGCCTAGGTCTGAAGCATCGGCGATTCCCACTCTACTCGTAGCCCCAAACAATGTCAACGCTGGCAAACTCGACTCAGACCATGACGAATCGCAATACAGAAGCCCGATGGATACTCAACGCGTCATATACAGGGAAGGAACCTGGATTGCCGTGGATTGGGAGTACAACGCTACCAAGTGGGAAACAGACTCGTTCGCCCTTGATCCACAGGAAGCTTGCACCAATGCTCTCCTCCAGCGCTTTCGAAACCTTCGCAAGAAACTCGCCGAAATGCGGAGGTATGGACGACTACCAGACACAGCAGCGAGCCGCGCAAAAGTAGAGAAGTTTGGAAAGCAGAAATGGTCGGAAACCATAGAGAAGGACTTACCGATTCTCCAAGAAATCATGCACATTGACGAGCCGACGCTGTATATGGCTCTACAAGGCTGCACGTTAGCATTGGGTCGATCAGCTAAGATATCCCGGGAGAAGAGCAGCTGGATATGGACCTTGTTGGCCCTAGTTGGAGATTTCGGTACTTTGGATCATGAGCGTGTGAGCAGAATTCGAGACTTGGGGCTCAGCGCAGGCCGGCTAGTGGGCCGACTCTACGCAGACAACAGAACATTGACGTGTGATGCACAAGAAGGCGAGTGCACTAGTCCCGAGGTCCTAGAGACCGATCCCAGAGAACAGACACATGGAGCTCACGACACGAGACATCTCGCGCCGAAAGTCACACAAACTCTGCGCGATGTTTCGGATGAGAAAGACAACGGATTAGACACGACGTCCTTCAGAAATGACAATGCCGTACTCAGCCAAAACACAGTCATTGAAGAGACGGATGATTCTGACGCAGAGATGATCATGTCTGAGGATGAAGTTGAATCAGAAAGCATTCCGGAAGATGGAGGTCTTGAGGAAGCTCGAGCGCGTCTTCTTGCGCAACTCGGAGACCGCTTGGTACATTCACAAGTGCCTCTGCCTCATACGCCCCCAATGCAAGTCCATCATCACCTTTCAAGGGTCGAGGCTGAGAGGCAGCGACAAGAAATACGCCGAGGAGAGCTGCAGCAAACTGCGAGTGCCACCAAATTGGCGCCAGTTTCCGAGCCGACGCAGGCCAAACCGCAGTCCATTACCCCATTGTCCGAGAGTGACTGGAACACGAAGGCAGCCATCGACATGATTCTGACAGTTGTAGCCGAGTGCTATGGACAAAGAGATCTGCTGAAATTTCGACTGCTCTGGTAGTTGCACACAGCGCGATGACTAGAAACCCATGCATCAATTTATTCGTTGTAATCCTGTGACTATATTTTGGCTACCGCAGTGACGTCGGTGTGAAGATGCACGGGCCAAGTCGCGGAGTAGAACGATTCTTTGCACACGCGCGCTTGCTCTTGGGCGATTGAGTCACTTTCCAGGTCCATGCAGCGCATTTCACCCCACTTTGTCTGCCCCGCGCTCTTCCAGGACGCCCTCCGATATACCTTCGCATACCGTAAAGTCAGCCGAACATCTATCCGAACCTACATTCTTGCACCCCGCCGCCGCTTCTCTACGCAAACTTCGCCCTTGGGCTTCGACGACGACATGGGCAAAGAAGACAAGAACAAATCGTTCAACCTGAAGGTGCCAAAGGGCACACGCGACTGTACATTTTGCCCACATTGCGCCCAAACGACTCGCTAACTATGTCAGGGACTGGCGAGGATGCCGCACTTCGCGACAACCTGTTCCAAACGGTAACGGAAGTTTTCAAGCGCCACGGCGCTACGACACTCGACACGCCCGTCTTCGAACTCAAAGAGATCCTCAGCGGTAAATATGGAGAAGACTCAAAGTTGATATACGATCTGCAGGATCAAGGCGGCGAGCTCTGCTCACTGCGCTACGATCTCACCGTTCCACTTGCACGATGGCTCGCCATGAACCCTAGCGTCCAGAGTTTCAAGAGATACCAAATCGCTAAGGTGTACCGCCGCGACCAACCAGCCATGACCAAGGGTCGCATGCGAGAGTTTTACCAATGCGACTTCGATATCGCCGGTTCCTACGACGCCATGATTCCAGATGCCGAGGTACTCAAGATTGCGACCGACGTCTTCGATGCGCTCAAGTGGGACTCGTACACGATCAAGATAAATCACAGGAAGATTCTAGACGGCATGTTCAAGGCTGCTGGCGTCAAGGCAGAACTGATAAGGCCGATCAGCTCTGCTGTGGACAAACTAGACAAGGTGAGCTGCAATCTCCATGTCTCTGCCAATTACTAACATGCTGCAGCTACCATGGTCAGAGGTCAAGCAAGAAATGGAGACCAAGGGACTGCCAGCAGACATCGCGGATAAGATTGGTGAATGGGTGCAGCGCAAAGGCGGCGACGACATCATCGACTATCTCAAGACAAACGAGACCCTTTCTCAATCGGAAGATGTCAGCCAGGGTGTTCGGGAGATGGAACAGCTCTTCTCATACCTCGATGCTTTTGGTGCCCGCAAGAGGATCTCTTTCGATCTCTCACTCGCCAGAGGTCTAGACTACTACACTGGGCTCATCTACGAGGTAGTTACAGAAGGCTCAGCACCGCGCGTAAAAGGTCAGCAGCAAGAAATCGGCGTAGGAAGTGTCGCCGCCGGTGGTCGTTACGACGGGCTCGTGGGCATGTTCAGTGGCAAGCCTATTCCCTGCGTTGGCATATCTTTCGGCATCGATCGAATCATTAGCATCATGAAAGCCCGCGGCCAGTCGACACAGCGTGCCAAAGATGTCGATGCCTTCGTCGCAGCCTTTGGTGGTAAAGGCTTCACCGGCCTGTTGACAGAACGTATGCAAGTCGCTCAAGAGCTATGGGCTGCAGGCATCAAGGCTGAGTTCTCGTACAAACTGAAGCCGAAACTCCCTCAGCAATTCAAACAAGCTGAGGTGGCCGGTGTCCCGCTCCTCGTCATCCTTGGTGAGGATGAGCTCAAAGACGGCAAGGTCAAGATTAAGGTCCTGGGAATCAAAGACGACAACGACCCCGAGAAAGACGGTGTACTGGTGAACAGGACTGATATGATTGCCGAGATTCGGAAGCGACTACCAAGCGCAGCTTGATTGCAGTTGGCGGGCGGACTTCCAGACTGACAGTGCACTTATAGATACCCATAGACTACATTCTACAAGCTCCCCTACCCGGGGTTCACAGTGTCATTCGCAAGGACTAAATTTGGAGAGAGTCTAGAAGAACAAAAGCATGTATACCTCGACCTAGGACGGACACGACGTTGATCTTTCCAGTCGGATGAATAGCGGTTTCCCTAGCATTACTTGAGTCGGATGTGTATGTATACAAAAAGTCTACCGGAAATCACCGTGGTGCTTGAGGGGTTTCTTATCATTCAAGTCCGCATTGATTTTGCTGTCGCGTTGTTAGGCAGACCAGAACTGTGCGGCACCAATCTGTGTGAGGACATTGTAGAGAACTTATTTCATCTGCGCAATAGGTCTTATGTACAGACGCATAACTGAAGGAAAAATCTCGCACTCTGCTGCCATGAGGTTTTGATTGGAATTGGGTAGTTGATGTCAGTTTGCGTGTCTAGTAGCCGTCCTTGCCCCACTTGTTGTATGTGTCATGGAGTTCCTACGCTCGTCAATACAGTCTGATTGCTGGTAATCAAGGGCGTCAGCTTACCTTGGGGAGAGTGACGTTGGGAATGACGACCACGTTAAGCGCAGAAGGCGCATCCTTCTTGACGCTGGTGTCACCTCCGGGGTGGTACTGGTATGGGCCTACACCACCATCCTGCTTCCAAGGCTCACTGCCTGCGGCCTTGGCGACAGCTCGTTCCGAAGAGGCACTGGTAGGAGAGCGGGCTTGCAATTGTCAGCATGTGAAGACGGGCGCACGAGGCAGAATCGATGTATCCGGGAACATACAGAAGTGCCATCCTGCCAGACCGAAAACACCGCTCATGATAGCGAACAGAACCTGTAGACGAATCAGCTATGCGCCCTGTATTGTCCAATTGACGTGTCGCATCCTACATAGAGCTCAGGGTCGCGCTTCGCTCCGGTCTTGAGGGCGTCCTTGCCGGCCTGTCTCTCGCCCTCAGCGGCGGCGCTGGCCCATCGTCGAAGAGCAGGCGTAGGACGGACACGCGGGGCGGCGCGGAAGGCGGAGCGGGCAATGATGGAGGACATGATGGGGGGTGAGTGGCGTGGACGGGATGCGAGCTATGGGATGCGTGCAGCGCGGAGCAGTGGTTCGATGTTGAATCTCGCGGACGCCAAGCTTGGCGGCTGCGTCACAGCGACGGCCATGCCGGAAACAGTCAGGCGGACCTTGCAGTGCGCCGGGCAACGTCGAAGGGTCGAGCATCAACTTTATGCGCCCCTTTCAGCGCAATCACACGTCTTGTCCATCGTTCCATTAGCCTTTCGGCGCCGCAGCCCTTCCATTCACTCACTTCCAGTCGCTCCTTCCCCTGCCGGTCGCCATCCTCGCCCATCCGCGCTCCCCGTATTCGTCGCGACCACGCGCTGCACAAGCCGTGACTTCCCTCCAGCCACACCCTCAGCTCTTTGATGTCATGCTGCGTGCCGAGAGTGTAATCGCGCCCGCAACCACATCACCATGGCCATGACGCCGTCCGAACAGAAGCGCAGCTCGACTGGCAGTCGCGTGTTGGGCATGACGGGCCCAGCAGGCGAGCCCGGCCTGCCACCCTCGCGACCGTCGTCGATTGCGACTGCCAATTCGGGCAGCCAGAACAGATGGTCCCAGGCCAGCCCTGCACGACGAGGCGGCGGCATGAGCGTCGCCGGCAGTCTAGGACACAGCCGCCCAACCACGTCTGCCAGTAGAACCCATGTTCCGCTGGCAGCCCACGGCTTCTTTCGCCCCATGAGCTCGCAGCGTCTTCAACAACAACGCAACCAGCGCCCCAATTCCCTCCTCGGCCACGGCTCGCTCTATTCCGACGCTACACACGAAACGGGCAGCAATCCGTACCGCCAGAGTACAGGCTCTACGCAAACAATTCGGCACGGCGCCCCAACCCTGGGCCTCCATCACGAGCTGGACCCGCAGCCTCCGCCGTCGCGCGGCACCGACATCACCGATAGAGACATGCCCGACCGCACCACAGCCAACACCACGCCCACGGGCGCAGAAACAGTGCGCAGTCGAGGCGAGAGCATCACTCCCCTGCAGCGACCCAGGCCTCAGCACCTGGATCTCTCTAATGTTCATGGCCACGATTCCGGCAAGCTCCCAACGCCCAGCAAATCGCCCCGCTCTTTCGGTTCCAGCTTCATGTTGTCCAGTCGCGACGGACGCTCAGCCCAAATACGACCCCATCAAGGACACGAGAAACTCACCTCTGCCGAGTCGTCACCCAGAATAGCCCGCAAAGAAGCTACTAAGGAGGCAGTCAAGCGGGAGCTCGGCAGGAACTACCAGTACTTCTCTGGCAATACCGCGTTTTGCTGGGGCGGTAGATTACAAAATACCCGCGACCGTCCAGTCAACGTCGCCACGGCAATCCTCATCATCTTACCTGCTGGCCTTTTTTTCGGCTTCTCGTTCGTGGACTCCCCTCCACTGCTATTGTTCCTCACGCTAACTATTACTATAGGGCCCCTTGGCTATGGACCAACGTTTCTCCATCGATACCCATCCTCTTTGCATATTTGCTTCTCGTCTCCATCTCCTCTTTCCTTCATGCTTCAGCTTCAGATCCGGGCGTATGTCATGCACCTCCTTTGTCATGAACACTACTAACGCCGTATAGATACTTCCCCGAAATCTACATCCATTCCCCCCTCCTAATCCTAATGACGATCCGCTCAGTCTCGGTCCGCCCACCACTGAGTGGACCATGGTGGTCTCCGCAACCGGTACGAATGCAGCTATGGAGGTGCCGACGAAATATTGCAAGAGTTGCAACATCTGGCGACCTCCACGTGCTCACCATTGCCGTGTATGTGACAATTGCATCGAGACGCAAGATCACCATTGCGTCTGGCTCAACAATTGCGTGGGACGCCGCAACTACCGTTACTTCTTTGTCTTCGTGTGCGCCACCACGTTGCTAGGTCTTTTCCTCCTGGGCGCTAGTCTGGCACACATACTAGTCTGGCGGGCGCAAACTGGAGCATCCTTTGGCGAGGCCATCGATCGATGGCGTGTACCCTTTGCCATGTGTATATACGGACTCCTCGGGTGGTCATATCCCTTCAGTCTTGGCATATACCATCTGTTCCTGGTTGGTAGGGGCGAAACGACACGTGAATATTTGAACTCACACAAGTTCCTCAAAAAGGATCGGCATAGGCCCTTCACGCAGGGCTCCGCGTTGAAAAACTGGGTTGCTGTATTACAGCGACCACGCCCACCGACCTATCTCCATTTCAAGAGAAAGTACGAGGAGGGCGACCAAAGATTTGGCTCGCGCAAAGACAAACGGACTGCGCCTCTAGTGCCAGAGCAACAGGGCGGCGGGGTGGAGATGCAGGATGTTAGTGGGTCTGGGGCATTCCAGGGCCCAGCCAGTAGGTCAGGACGTGACGCTGCAGACGCGACTGTGGCATGAGACGCTGTTTCTGATCAGCGTGATCATGTGGTTAGCCCATCTTAAGTAATAGCTTCTTCACAATACACGAGTGCAGGCACGGCACCATATGATCGTTTGCATGCACTGATGAGTGACTTCCTTGATTCTGTGTACATTCCATGATAACATTGCAGCGGGCTCGGTTTCGAAGACCCGGCCCGTACGTGCCGGTAATAAGACGGAATGCGAGGAGTGGTGGTGCTGGTAACATTGGATATACAGGGCACGACGGCCTAATCGGCTGACTGACTAGCTGCATGTGTTTACCTCCCCAAATCGTCCATCCGTCCATCTATCTCCCAACTCTGGCTCGATGCGCCTCCCAATGCATGCCCACACACTCTCCTAAACCGGACCGACAGTTGTACACGTTTCTTCGCGTGCTCTTTGCCTATCGCGCGCAGACTTTGGCAGTGTTGCTTCGTGAGCGCCGTTGACCCGCCCAAAGCGTCCACCTCCTTCGCGCGTCAGTGCCTCACCCCTCAAGACCACGACCACGACGCGTGCTCCTGCCTTGCCCGTCCGCTGTCATGGCCGAGCGCGATCTATCCCCAACTTCAACATCCTCTACGCTCTCGAACATCACGGTGCGAACTGACAAGCAGGGCGATGCTCGCGCCACGTCCAGCGCGTCGCCTTCCATCTCGACGCCACCTACCAGCCTCGGCGACGAAGCCAGCGTCATGTCCGAGATGACGAAGATCGAACAAGCTGTCGAAGTGTACGAGGAGGCTCCGGGCCTCCAAATGCTCGGCGAGACCTCAGCGTCCGCGCAAACCACCACGCCCGACGCCGTCAACAACGAGGCCCGCCGCCCTGCTAGGAGCTCGCGCAAGTCCGTCACCACGTACAACGTGCAGATTCTCGCCGGAACTGCGATTCATACGCCGACCAAATACCTTGAGAAGCACCACAAGAATGTCGTGCACGGCTCTCTCGAGGAGCTCGCGAGGAAGGAGAAAGCCACACCTATGCGAAAGAAGATGCTGAAGCGGAAGTCTGACATGACTGATGCCAGCGATCAGGTCGAGGATCAGCTGGCTGCCGAAGCCGCCCAGGCAGCACGACGTCGCACCTCCTCTCGCGTGACGGACCTTCGCAAGGAGGTCCTCCGCAAAAGCGGTGTCGGCGACACCGTCGCAAGCATGTACTCAGGGGGAAAGGCTTTCGTTAAAAGCACTTTACGGCGCAGTACTTCAGAGCCATCCTTCAAATCCGGCCAATCAGCTTCCCCCGCGGCTTCTCTCAAGCGGTCTCGCGATGCCCTTGAGGATGGAGACGCAGATAGCCAAGACCAGGAAGGAAAGATCTTCTCGCAGCCCAAGTCGAAAGTCTGGCTTAAGCAAGGTTTGTATGTTGGCCAGGATCGCGACTTTGATCCTCGTCTCTCAGAAAGCCAGAACCGCGCGAAGAAGAGGGCCAAGAAACCATGGCAGGCCACAATCTTGCCCCTCCCGATTTTTGCCTGCGAACGTCTATTGAACGAGGACCCAAAACATGTATTCCGCGATTTCAAGTTGCCATTCGATACTTACAGCCCTCTACCCAGAAAGGTTAAGGTCGACGGCTGGGTCAAACTCAACAAAAGTAACCTCACTATGATCCCACTCAGTCAACAATGCTAACGACTTGCAGACAGGTTCATTGGCGACGCATCTGCGCTGTGGAAACGCGACAAGCAAGACTCCTCCCAATGCTATTGCGATGAAGAAGATGGCTGTGGAGAGTCCTGTCACAATCGGATCATGGCGTATGAATGTGACAATACCAACTGTCCCCTGCCTCCGGAACTATGTAACAATCGGCCATTCGCAGAGCTCAAGAAGCGTGCAAAAGGCAACCGTTATGACTATGGTGTGGAAGTTCTCGATACAAAAGACCGAGGGTTCGGTGTTCGTGCTATGCGAACGTTCGAGCCACACCAGATCATCGTAGAATATGCTGGAGAGATCATTACCCAGTCTGAATGCGAGCGACGCATGAAACAGGTCTACAAGAAAGACAAGGTACGTTGTCAAGGTCTTGCATACAGATTTCTGCTAATCCTCTGCAGTGCTATTATCTCATGAGCTTCGACAACAAAATGATCATTGATGCGACTCGTGGGACTATTGCTCGATTCGTTAATCACTCGTGTGAACCCAACTGCGAGATGATCAAGTGGACTGTGGGTGGAGAGCCTCGGATGGCGCTGTTCGCCGGTCCCCGCGGCATCATGACTGGCGATGAGCTGACTTACGATTACAATTTTGAGTAAGTCATGTCCCATAACATATATGTTGAACCGTTCTGACTTCGTTAGTCCGTTTTCCCAAAAGAACATTCAGGAATGCCGCTGTGGCACTGAATCATGCCGTGGGGTCCTCGGTCCCAAGCCAAAGAAACCCATTGAAGAGAAGTCAATAGCTTCAGTGCTCATCACAGGCACGAAACGCAAGCTGCAGGATTTGCTCGGTCCTCGAAGGCCTGGTTCTGAAAGCACCCAAAGCTCCCCCAAGAAGCGCAGGATGCTTGCAGGCAACTCTGCTAGCGCCAAGGCGAAAAATGCTGTCGCTCGATTGGAGTCTGCTCGTGAGCGAGTCGAGAGGGAAGCAGATGCGCTGTCGCGCCAGAATGCATCCCGCGAAAACCGCGCTCTAAAGCGATCAAGTTCCGGAACTCTTGATAAACGTACGAGAGCAGCTAATCTCCGGACGGCAAAGCCATTTACCGTCAAATCTACCCGACACACAACCGTCAGCTTTCAAAGGAAGGTTACTAGGCCTGGTGCACTGAAGAAGGTCAAGAAGCCTACTCGACCACTGTCAAGCAGAAAGGCACTTCGCTCCCAACGACCGAGCACGCCAAATCGAGAAACGAGCACTGAGGTACTGGATTCAGAGGATAATGCTTCACCAAACATAACCCCTGCATCTTTACGCAGCGCTTCTAAGAAATCGCCTTACACCAGCCCTGTCTCACGAGAGCCTCTTGCAAAGGGCGCTACGACTGCAGTGAAAGACCGTGTTTCACACAAACCTTCAGTACGGAGCCTACGAGGAAGGTGATGAACGTGTCATTAAACTCCGTTGTATCGTAGCTTTGTTTCAACCCACATCATGCGGCAGATTTTCGCGAAGGGCTATCTGACTTGAACAGGCTTGCTGGGCTGTTTCCCAGTGACTTCAGATGTGTATGTACAGGTAGTCCTCTCCGGTTTTTAACGTGAACAATAGAATGATGGTTCCATGCGAATAGTAACTATTGCGGCGTGATGTGTCAATGCTTTGTTCACGTTTTCGCCGCTACCCAGTGGTCGTGTTGTAAAGCTCCTCCTGTTGGTAATATTCAAATCAGTGGAGAGGTGTCCATATCTGTGATACACAAACGCCTCTCCATCGCCATTTCGGTGAGACTATATCATACCGTGCTAAACCGAGCACGGCGGTACAAACTTTGCTGACACATTGAGTCACTCATTAGTCACCAGCGCTCACAGAAGATGTACAAGGCGAGCGAGTATGTACACATCGTCAAGCTCTCTCTGGACGATCACTGCCCTCAATCCAAAGTTCAAAGTAAGAAACCATCCTACAAAAACTCAACCTGGCGTACGTGTTATGTTGCCATGAATGAGCGAACACAGGCATACCGTCACAAATGTTCTCTCGGTCAAGGAGATAATGGGTATCTAAAGTCTTCAAAGAGAAGCAGCGTGATGAGGTGGATAATAAACGTGATTTAGAGACTCAATGAGCTATGCAAAGGTACCGGTGTACGAGCACTCAAGGTCATATGTCTCCGGTGCTTCCGGACGGCAAGCGAAATCCTTACATATGCATGGCTTCCGAATCGAGAAGACTGGCGGTAACATTGTCGATCGAGCGAATGGTAGAGTGATGGTTTGCTCCGAGTTGTATACGCTGCCATTCCGTAGACGTCAGCGTGCCTGCGCGCAGAGGAGTCGGCTATGATAATCGGACAAGCTGCCACTGAGTTCCGAACCAACTATTTGGTACTTGGTGTCCAAATTATAGAATATATGCGAAGCTCAGGGCTCATGTGTAGTATCAAGATGGTAATGAGATTGTTGTGACGCAACGGTGGGTAACGCGACGATGACTAATAATTTCCCGACGGGCATGCTGCTGCAGGGTTACCTTCCAAGACATCACATTATCACGAGCAATCCGCAGTCCACCAATGACGATGTACGCGATGAGGCTACTTGCTCGCTGCAGCTACGGCCTGCCTTTACGCCGCGCATTCCAGACGGCCGCTGCTCCCTCGGTCCGTGCCCCGGAGTTTGCTTTCGCTTTTGAGTAAGGCCTGCACACCATCAGCTTCTCAACACAGCAGCTGACGGCTGTCAGTATCGATGGAGTGCTCTTAAGAAGTTCAGATCCGCTGCCGCGAGCTCAAAAGGCCCTCTCTTACCTGCAATCACAGGGCATTCCCTTCATACTTCTTACCAATGGCGGCGGCAAACATGAATCCGACCGC